TCTCGATACTTTTAGACCTTTCTGTCGCTTGCTGATTCATAGGAATCTATTGTATGTCTACGTGCAGTATCTTAACTTAGATTTGCTTTGTCACCACACCTTACTAGATAACGATATATTACTGCTCGTCATTGCATCGTTTCATTTCCTGCCATCATTTCACACTACAAAATATACGCACAAAATCTTTTGTCATTCTCGCAATTCGATTTCTCCTCTCTCGCTGTTCGTCACTTTCAGCGTCTGCTCTGTTTCTTTTTTTTTTTTTTCATAAAATTTACGATTTCTATATTTATCTATTGCAAATTATTCGCCAAAATGTCTATTACACGAGATTAATCGCCACCAGTCGCTGTGTTACGATTGATTCTAAATCGATGTAAATCGCGAAATCGTCATCGAAATCGTATTTATTCACTAATCACCGACTACACTTGCGTCTAAATCTCGAGGCTACCGTCTCTATACCGCTAGTTGTAAGATACACATCTCTTTTCGTGATCGAACACGTGACATTAATTAAATGAGTGTATAGAAATATATAGCGCTTTGTAATTCTAACTAAACACTCTCAAAGTTCCTCCCATTATAATCTTCGTAATGTTCGTCGTATCTTCTCAAAACGAACGTCCGATTTCCAGCCTAGGATCCTATCATCATCGGTACCGTTACTTATCGATCGCTGTCTCGCACGACGAACGTAAGCCATCCGGCTCGGAGTAATCAGATCGCCTTATGGATCCGCGCGGCGCGTAAATTACTGTAATTAGCAACGCATGTCTATATAACCCGCCTACGAAATCAGGATATTCTCGGTGCCCGCTGCAATTTCATCCGTTGTCATCGTTACGCCCTAATCACCACGGGCGTACCGTTACGCCCCGGCTGATTAATCCACCCGACGCGTTACGCTTACATGAGAGAGAAAAAAAAAATAGAGAGGGAAGAAAAACGCGAAGAGAAGAAGGGAAGGGGGTGGGGGTGGGGGTGGGAGAGGGGAAGGTTAATGAAAGAACGAAAAGAAGCGACGCGTTGACGCGGCGTCGGTCTATCCTCGTCGAACAATCGAACGTCATCGACACTCGGCCGTGTCGAGTCGAGTTTAAAAGTCTACCATACGTCGGAGCCTCTCTAATAATACGCGTGAACGTAAATGAGATTGTGAATGGGATGATGATGGGCGTGGGGATTGTGCAGAGGGGTGCACAGGGACGTCGTTGTAATGGTGGTGGGGGATGGTGGATGATTGACAGATTGCATCGTGGATACGGGCGACACCTGATTGGGGGGACCGGCCGGCACTTGGTACACGGTACTGGGCGCGGCCATCGGGCACCTTGAGGCCCCGGCTGCGCCGTGTTGGGCCCCATGCTGTTGTTGTTGTTGTTGTTGCTGTTGTTGTTGTTGTTGTTGTTGAATGTAGTTTGGTGGTAGACATACCTCGAGGCGGTCGGTACGTGGCATCTTCTGCGGCATCGCCACTGTCTGCGGCACCACGCCGAGCGGACTGCCGACGCCCGTTGGGTCAGCCGGGCCCATTATCGCCGGCATTATCGGGCTGGGCGCGAAGTACGGGCTGTACGTATTGCTAACCTGCGGCATACCGGTCAGGTACGGATTCGTCGCCTGCGAAAACACACCCGGAAGATATCCAGGTAACATGGATTAGAACACACGTGTCCCCGCCTTCGCTCCACGCGTTTTTTTTTTTTTTTTTTTCTCGATTGTACACGTCGCGACGCGCGCGATTTCGAGATTTCATTGAAACGCGTGCTTTGTACCTAAATATTTGTATATACAGAGTATTAGTGGCGCGTAATGTTACGAAGCGAGTTGACTCGATTAAAAATTGCTTTTTCGTGAATGCATATTTTCAAATTATTTACTTCATAAGAAGTAATAATATAAAGGTAGGAATACTAAGATAGGGATACTAAATTTGAATATAAATTGCATGGGAAAGAAACCGAAAAATTAATTCAGCAATTCTGAAATATTCTTGAGAAAGAAGTTACATAAATATTACATCACATAACGTCAGAGAAGATTTAAATGCATCTAATCGATAAATAACTATTTATATATTTGACAAGGACAAAGCCGGAACTTTTATTCTACATTTATAATGTATAGTATATTATGAATATGTTGATGAAAATTTATTCCACAATTTCGATAATAATTATTACAATTGAATGTACAGAAATTGTTTCCTGCAAATAATTTAAGAATGAGGAACTGTTTCCAAACAAAGATTTTCTTACGAATCAACTCGTTTCAAATTGAGCAGTTTCTACAACAAGAAGTTAACGTTTTCCCGTTTGTGCCATCAATTATCAAATACTCTGTCTATGCAATCTACCATTTCTGAATGTCCGTGTAAATTTTGCCTCAAGGTGCATTAAAGCTTTGCGAGCAATGCTCTCCGATGTTTATCAACTTTAAGACGCGCAATATACATCGCTTGGTTTACAAACCATCATCGTACCCGCTTCAATTTTGGATAAATAAGCAACATCGTTAATATCTGGTGTAATAACAACGTGTAATGAAGGTAAATTATATATTAATACATTGCTGAAAAAAAATTGATACTAATCTTAAGCTGTTTAATATTTATCCGCAAAACTCTAGGAATTTGGAACAAATAACATACCCAGAAATATACAAGCAAAATATGATGGCAAAGTATGATGATAATTAAATTCAAATATTCAGATTATTTTATTTAAATATGAAATATAAAAATTATACATTTTTTCCTAATACATCTTGAATAATTTAACGAAATAAAATTATTATTATTTAATTAATTAAATATCCATTTAAATAAATATTTGTCAAAGATACCAGAAGGTTTGCGGTATCTTTGAAGAATATTTAATTATTGTCACCGTGTTTTCATCTATTGCTATAATGCCAACATTTCGTGAATCTCGTCGTTCGCTTTATCAGGGCGAAGAACGTACTAATATTAAAAATATATGAACTAAATATTCTACATATTTTTCCAATATTTGTTAAAAACAACGTTAAATTAAAATACTACAAAATTATCATAGAATAGTATATAATTATTATATGTAATTATATATCCAAAATATTATATTTTATTTGTAATTATTATTTATATCTCAACATTATTATCAACATCAAAATTCGATAAATAAAAATATTGGAAGGGACTTTTAAAAAAGTGACTCTTAAAGAAATTCTACTGCACGCGTGATATTGTATATCGATAAGGGTTAATTCGGGGCAGTAAATCTGAAAAACGTGCTAAAGACAAAAATTTGTAAAGAAAAGACGTCTCGCGTTTACGGATCTCGCAAAGCCTTAATCGTCCATTTTCTTTTCCCTCGTACCCTCCCCTTCACTTTTAACGACAAGCGTACGTTTTCCCACACGAAGCGTTTGGTTTTGCAGCGAGAGCTGGCTCCCAGCAGCGAAGGCAGGTAATTTCAAGCGCATCCGAACGAGCAGAATACTCGTTCCTTCTTCTCAAAAGCCTCTGATACCCTGGGAGCTTTCGTCGTTGTAAAAAAGCTTTCGGGAAACGCGGCCAGGTAATTGTTGAAAAATATTAGCTGAGCTATTATATGATCAGACATCAGCTTTCTAATTTTTCAGAGTATATCAGGAAATAAAAATTTTATTGCTAATACCGAATTGAAATTGATTATTGCGTAAGATCGATAATATTTTCAAGACTACCCTGCCTCGCATCCTCTTTCTTCGTCTCTTTGACTATCATAAGTTTCATTCTCATTATATATTTCAAAACTCTAACAATTTTTATATTTAAATATTTACTGTTACAATGTTAAACATAAAATATAAAATATTTCAAAGTGAAAGAGAAGAAACATTCGTCGTTTTCAGAGCCAAAGAACGCGCAAATTTTATTTAGCCGCAATACTTCATGCTCCTCTCTCTTCTACAGGAAAACTTTACGAAAACATATACAAACAAATTTTCTTTCCTCAATAAACAAACAAAACAATTCGTAAAGCATGCAAATAAATTATTGACTTACTATGCGGCGCGCTCTTAAAATAAAAGTTTAAGCTTTCGTACGAACGCTTACTAATTACAGGCGCATCGCTTGAATAGCTACAGTGGATGTAAACTTATGAAAGTAATTCATTTGATCATAAACATATCGCAAATTGAAATTAAATACAAATTCTCATGTTTTCTTTTTACAAACTCATAAATGATCTTTACATCCACCGCTAGCCAGCGTGGCATTAAATTAACTAAAAATTAGTGGAAGCCAACCAAAACCAGGAGTTACCATAAAGGCGTGGGTAGCGAGAAGTTGCTGCTGGATTTGCTGTTGAAGGTGATGGTGTGGTGCCGGAGGTGCTGGTGCCTCCTGTTCACCAATGACGTAATTGGAGAACACACCAACAATCAACCACAACCACGTGAGCCACAGCGGCAAACATAGGGGACAGACAGGCAGTCATAGTATAGGGTTTAATGTCACGTAGCAACGAATATGAATGTATGTCATGAGTAAACAAAAAGAACAAGGAGGGCAAACGTTAATAACGAGAGTTTTTATTTTATTTTTTTTTTCTTCAAAAATAAAATAACGATAATCCCGCGTATCGTCTTAGAGATGCACGTGAAATAGGGGAGTTTAGAAAAAAAAAACCGCATATAAATTTCCTCAATCGTCGAAAATTCATTCGAGTCAATCAAAATTATTCGAATACTGTATCAACAACGCGTGCGATGTTGTGTGAAATTTTAACGAGTCGACGAAACTTTTCCGCGTCTAAACGCTATTCTATCGTTTCGATATTGTACGATATTGCATTTCCCGTAATTAACGAGTCTCCCCCGTTAAATGATAAATACGAACAGTACGAGAAATATTCACGATATGAATCTGAACATGTCCACATCAAGGACTCTTAACTTGCGTTTCGTGCAAATTTAACAAATACTTGATTTTACAAGTTATTTATAAAGTTCTTGAATCAAAAATACATTTAAATATCTTGAATACATCATGTACTTGTAATACAAAAAAATAATTAAAATTCACAACTTGAGAATAATAATAAGAATAAAAATCACGAGTGTCATCATAATTTCAAAAAAAAGCTGCAATAAAAAATAATAAGATTAAAAATTACCGATCGTATCAAAGAGATTCGATTCTGTAAATTGACTGTCTATCAAAATATGTGGATAAGTCAGGTTTTACTCTAGGAAGTAAGGATGACACTGACCAAGAACATGCGACGTGCTTAAACTTTTTTCTTAAAAAACTTTGTCTCTCGGTGCAATGTCCGTAAAAGGGAACGCATGTAAATATGGACGGCGAAGTGCTGCGTTTATAATGACTCGAGCCTTATTCGAAAAGTTTGTAAAGCGTTTTAATTTAAGGTATAATATATGAGATTGTACGCAAACATAGCTAACAGCGTCTCTAGCTTCCTTGATACGACAGTAACGTGAAAAGAAAGCTTATTTATACACTACGCCGTCAATAATCTACGCAGCGTTGCCTATCGAATAAGATAATCTAGTAACCCTCGACTAAACACAGACAAAATCCAGATATTACGGTGTGGTAAAAGAAAGTGTGTGACTGTGTTGACAGCAGAAGAAGTGGTGCAACGATCGTGTTAATTTGTTAGACATACCACTGCGGGTACCTGCCCGGGCACGAGAGTCTGACCCGGCGTAAGGCCCTGCTGAATCTGCTGCATCAGCGCGTTTTTCAGCGCTAAATGATTGCGCCCGTTTATCAAGAGTTGGTCCTTCAGATGCTGTGGGGGATGGAAATACTTGCAAGGTGGCTTCTCTCGATTACACCGACCCTGGAAAAAAAAAAAATGCAGAAAATCAGTTTACTGCAACTATTATTTTTTAAATAATTATAATTTTTTATTTATAAATCGGAGTCAAGCTATTTTGAACATTGTATGTTATGCAGTATACGCTAAATCTCTTCCTAGTTTGCCTCCATCAAATAATGCAAAATTATCTAGCGTTGCTTTAACAATTAATATTAAAAGCTGGATATCGACTATACATAATATGTATTAATGAAATTGGACGAGAGATTGTAAAATATATATATGTTAATACTCGATATTCATTGTCCTCGCTAACATAATGATCGGTGAGATATTTGATATTCATATCACCAATACTACATGATATGATATACAATACCGATATACTATTTTCGCGACGCCATACATATGATTCATAATATTCTTGTAGAATACATATACATATATCAGACGCACTGTTGTCTTCAGTAAAACAATGTAAATTTGCGTTTAAGTATATTATGGTCTATAATATGGCTAATATAAAAAAATCGCTTATTATACACCCTTCATATCGGGTTTTCGTTTACTCTCTCTCTCTCTCTCTCTCACTCAGCCTCTCCCTCTCATAATTTGGATGTTGGGACGAACTGTAACGCGCTTTATGAGGTAAGTTGCGGGTGCAAGGTTGGAATACGGAAGTGGCACGAAGGCGGGAAAGTGGAAGGAGCATCGTTGGGAGAGTGCCGAGTCGGGTCTCGGAAAGAGGCTCGTGGCGGGGAAACGGAAACCCGCGGGAAATGAAGGAAGGAAGGGTAGGCGGGGCAAGAAGAGGTCGCGCTTGGTGTCGCGGTGGTACTAATTAAACCTTAACAATATTAGTTCAGGTAAGATGTCTATATAGAACCGGGTGGTAGCCACCGCGCCAGCCGCCTGTGCTTTCTTACGAAAATCCAGTGGTTTTCGGTAATAGCGGCTTGCGAGCGTAAACTCCGTCAGAGACAGAGGGGTTGCGTCAGTTGGATGGCCAAGGGAAAGCGGTGGGTCGTGCTGGTGGTAACGTCGGCGGGACGAACGCTCAAATATCGCCTAATTAAGCACATTCGAGAGTTTCGAGGAATAATGTGTAGGTACCCGCCACGAGAAAGTTTCGACCCATTGAGAGGAAATGCTCCATCCTCTTCATCGTCTTCGCCATCGTCACCGCCGCCGTTCTCCGCGTCGTCGCGCTCTCCTGGAGCCAACCTCTCGTTGACACGGAGTGGTTTAAGCTCGACTAATTGCATGAGACAAGATTCAAGCGTTCGCTCTTGCACAAGGCAACACGGCAACGCGGATATATCCGCGTATCAATGTCTGCGAAGGCTTTGACGTTGATAATATTTATTGCTTCTCAAGAACGATTGTTTTGCGTGTCTATTCTGCTATTATTTTTAGTGTAACTTAACTATTTTAAAGTGTACTTAATAATTAAATCAGAGTAATTCTTTAAACTAGCCAGATAAAGGTCCCCATTTTCTGTATAAATCTGACATTAAAGACACACTAGGAATGTACAAATAATCAAGGAAATCCAAAGTAGGTACAAAAATATATAAAAGAAAATAAATAAGTTTGAGAACGAACAAAATGATATCTAATATTTTAAAAATTTAAAAAGTTGAAATGCGCGTTTCAAGAGAATTTAAAGAAAAAATAGTTTCTCTCAATAAATATATATTCGTATAGTAATAATCAGTAATCTGTTTATCAAATGCCAATAAATATCGTAATAATGAACATTAATGTGATTTTGGGACGCTTAAACTGTACATTCTAGATGGTGCCAACTAGTGAGCGCAGTATTAAAGTTGATTTAAAGGGGCTACTGATAAGAAACAGCATTCTCCGGGGAGCTATGCGAAACGCTCCCCTCTAATTTTAATGAAACTTTAATGATATTTAGAGGATTCTCGGAAACGGATAGCCTCTCGTAAATTTCATACATAATGATGTAATATCTCACAAATCTTTTAAGGACCGAATTGTTTCATCCTTGAACAAGTGTAAATTTAATGCAAATTTATATCGTTTCTAGACACTCTTTAAAAATCAGAATTATCAAACGTAATTGTGTGTTTCTCACTAAGAATAGATATATTAAAATTAATTCACAATTTCGTGGAAGATTGCGTACAATAATTATTGTCAAACTACAAATTCCAAACACAAACTATTAAATTTTAAACATATTTATATTTAATTATGATATAAAATTATGTGCACTGATATCTGAACATAGCCCTTATTTTATTCTTTAACATACGCATTAAATGTGAAATTATAAAATGTATAATCGTAATAAAAATTACAATATTCTGTTAAATTATTTTTTTCAATAATAAACATTAAAAATGTATCATCAAATAATGTACGCAACTATCAAGAAAATTTGTTTAACTATAAATAATTACAATAATATTATAATAAATAAAATAATATAATATTGACATCTTAAATTCAGACAAAGCTGTTATAAAAACAGCAATTTGACATTTTAAGCAATCAACGTATTTATAACATTAGTAGGTACTCGTGTGTTGCGAAAATTTATACAATGCATAGACGATATTGAAGAAATCATTCGTCTGGTTTTAAAAATATAAACGAGTTTAAACCTGATATCTGTACCTCAACCTAAGATAATAAATAATATTTAATTTCATGTTTTATCCATTTAGATGAATAGCCTAACATAAGGCAGCACACAAAGAAAGCTTTATTTTCACGCTGCCGATTCATGGAAGGCTTATTATGTCCTGAAACAAAGCAATAACTTCTGAGTCACGTAGTAACAAATTTGACTTGTTTTAAAGCTAAGTTTATACAACCTCAGGCTCAACTGTGTTCCCCTAAATTATATAGTATTACTTATTTAATTCTAGGTTTGTATGGAATAATATTTAGATTTATGTATATCTAGATTGAAATTGAATAGTCTTCCTGAAAATCTTATATATATATATATATATATATATATAGAGAGAGAGAG